GTGTGTGTGTGTGTGTGTGTGTGTGTGTGTGTGTGTGTGTGTGTGTGAGAGAGAGAGAGAGAGAGAGAGAGTTATCTCGGATCTGAGCTTGGTGACATTCGGGCCATTGCCCTGTTCTGGCATTCGGGCAAGGACCCGCCTTTGGACAATGTGCTGAGATTGGAACTTTGGGAAACTTCGGGATCAATGCCATTGTTGACTTGACCTTCTCGCCCCACTCTTCCCTTCGTCTCCATCTCCCTCCTACTTCGTCTGTGGGTGGTCTGGGGACAGCGCCCCTTCTGTGTATGACCCACTGCCCCCCATCTCACTGAGTGGTAAATGAATGACTGAGCATTGTTCCAGTCTTCCGCTGCATTCTATTGTCTGTTGCTGGGGTCGGTGTCTGGGATCTGCGCGACACTTTGCTATGTGTAAATGTGTATGCGACACTTGACCAGAAATGTGTGAAGTTGTAAACTTTCAGGAATGTAACATTCATTTCCGCAGCTTGCCGGATTACGTAGGCTTCTTCAACGGATTATTGCTTTTTTACCTTGCAAGCTGCAAAAGGAAAGGCAAAAACAACGATTGTGAGATTTTGAATTGGTGAGCTTTTCTGGTCCATGATGTGGGATTTCGAGTATTTTTTTACGGTCCCTGTTTCACTTCATTTCATTTTTATGTTCGGGAGCCCGGGTGCCATATTTGACATTCCTCAACATTCCCATGACTTCCAACTTCCAGGTACGTTTTCCATGCTACCTCCTCCACTTGCATCTGACATACTCCTCACTGCCAAAGCCATACCTGCACATGCCATGTAATAAGTACCCGTCACATAGGCGAACTCCTGTCAGAAGAATCAAGAAGATACCTTGACATAAAGAGAAGGCTGGAGAAAATGGGTTGCAACAAACATGGTGAACATGGAATATACCAGAAATAGTTTGCCATCCATGATCTCAAACTGATTGCCGCAGGGAACGCTCTTCGTGAAGTGAGTCTTGAAGAAGTCATTCGAATGTACAAAATCGACAAACTTATCCCAGCCGCCGCTCGTGGGCCCTGTACTCCTGAAATGCTTCTCAACATCCTCCCTAGCCTCATACACAGCTGCCAAGATCGTTTCCTGCACGGACCCCAGAAATTCAGCAATCAGCAACAGAATGTTCCCTAAACCTTACCTCACTCCAATGAGAACCTCGAAAACTTTTATAAGTGAAGTCCAAAAACTTTCAAAGCTCAACTGCTGATTCGACTACAATTTCAGCTGTGCAAAGCAACTGCAATGAAAGGAACCAAAACAATCACAGAATATCCAAACAGAGTGCCAAGGACCCACCACCAACACAAAATGGAGTGTTAAGAAGGAGCTAAGGCTTGGCAGTAAACCCCCAGATTGTCCGTGTCAGCTTCCACATAACTGCACATTACCAAGCTTTCATCTTCGCTAAGGAGCTACGTGACACCCGCGGCCTAGGCCACGGGCAATCGGCCGCCTTGGCCAAAAAAGTCGGGCGCGGCCGCGGCCAATGAGGCCCTGTCCGCAGCCTGATTTAAAAAAAAAAAAAATAATACCCCTAAAAATACGTAAAATATATATATATCTATATCGTCAAATAGAACTGCCCGGTAAACCGTAGGCAGAGAGGGAGAAGAGGACATATATATATATATATATATATATCATATATATCGTCAAATAGAACTGCCCGGTAAACCGTAGGCAGAGAGGGAGAAGAGGACAACAAACGAGGGGCTGTGACAAACTGTTTCGTCGGAGTTTCACCGACTCATATATATATATATATATATCGTCACAAAAAATATATATATCGTCACAAGGGTGGTAGGGCTTGGAAAACCCTACAATCCTATATTTTTATTTTGGAATCTGACTTTGTTTAAGATTTTTAAAAAATGAAAAACGAAAATCGATTTAAACAAATTATTAAAAATAAAATAAAAAGAAAAGCAGGAATTTTTTTTTGTCATTTTTTATCATGAGGGACATGTTCGCTGAGTTGTCCTGTATTTTTTGAGAGATGTTTTTCGGGTTTCTGTCCAGGAATTGGGTGTTTAAAAAAAATTAAGATGCAAAAATTGAAAACAAACAAAGAGAAGAAGGGGTCAGGCTGAGGTTGGTGTGTGTGTGTGTGTCCTCTTGTGTGTATGCATGTGTGTGTGTGCGTGTGTGTGTGTGTCTGTGTGTGTGTGTTGGTGTGTGTGTGTGAGAGAGAGAGAGAGAGTCGATCAATCAATCAATCAATAATCAATCAATCAATCAATCAATCAATCAATCAATCAATCAAGATCCTATCGATTCGAAGCCAATCAAGATCCTATCGATTCGATAGGATCTTGATTGGCTTGGTTGATGGATTGATTGATTGATTGATTGATTGATTGATTGATTGATTGATTTGTGATTGATTGATTGATTGATTGTGTGTGTGTGTGTGAGAGAGAGAGAGAAAGCGGACAGAGAGAGAGAGAGAGAGAG